GACCTTCTGGTTTCATCATGTTTGATATGTCCTTGACATCTCCCCACAACTTTCTCAGTCTTCCAGCGTTCGGTACGTCAAATCCAGTTTGAGATAGTCTCTAAACTCAGGTGGACTCCATGTGTGGCTGTGTAGTTGATAAGTACTGGACTGCTAACCAGAAAGTTGGCAGTTGAGACCTACCAGCTGATCCTTGGAAACCCTATCTATACAGGGTTCGCTACGATTCAGAATAGACTCGGCATGTAACAACAATATACTCAAAGTTGTACTTTGGCTCTCAGTAACTACAATTTTAGCAACACCAATAGCAAGCTCCTTGGGAAAGAACGCAAAAGTCAAACTCTGATTTGTCTGGCAATCTACATCCTGCCAACATCTTAATCCAGTGACCTGCATCTTCCTGTAAAAGAGTAACCTTTCACTTGGTCAGGGAAAACGATGATACGCAAAGGCGCTGTGGGATAATGGCTGAGCTCACGAGGGGTGAGCAAGGCAGAAAGCACTGGTTCTGCTTCTCCCTGGACAAGTGAAGGCCTTTAGAAAATGTTCCTTGGAGTTTTCCTACCCTGCTACCAGCAGGCCCTTGCATCTTGTTTAGGTGCAGCTGGCACTCCTGGGAAACTGCTGCTGCTGCTGCTATTAGGTGCCATCTAGTAGGTCCCTTAAACACACAACAGAACGGAACAGTGCCTGGCCGTGCACTACCCTCACAACTATGATCACCCTTGAGCCCATCGCCGCTGCTGCCACTGTGTTAACCCACCTTGTTGGAGGTCTTCCTCTTTTTCTGTTACTTCTTCACTTTACAAGTATGATGCCCTTCTCCAGGGTCGGATCCCTCCTAACAACATGTCCAAAGCATGAGAGAGAAAGTCTCTCCATCCTGGCTCCTAAGGAGCATTCTGGTTGTACTTCTTCCAACACAGACTTGTTTCTTCTTTCTGGCAGCCCATGGTCTTTTCAACTGTCGTCTTCTTCCATACCACAGCTCAAAGGCATCAATCCTATATGTTCTGCCTTATTCATTGTCCAATGTGCACAGGCTTATGAGACGACTGAAAATACCTTGGTTTGGGTCAGGTGAACCTTAGTCTTCAAAGCGCCCTCTTTGCTCTTTACCACTTTAAGGAGGTCTTTTGCAGCAGATGTGCCTGATGAAATCTGTTGTTTGATTTCTCGACGGCTGTTTCCTTAAGTCTTCATTGTGGCCAAAGCACATTATTGTTACTGCAGGTATACGTTGGTCCCGACTTATAACCATTTTATATAGGATTTCCAAGACTGGAAACCTCTGTGGGAACAGAAAGTTTCATCTTTCTCCTGTGGAGTGACTGGTGGGTTCGAACTGCTGACCTTGTGGTCATAGGCCCGTGCTTATCCTACCGAGTCATCATGCTCCCTGGCCATAGTAAGTTGTTGCTAAGTGTCGCAAAGTCACAGTGACCTGTATAGGATTTCCAAGGAGCAGCGGTTGAGTTTGAACAGCCAACTTTGTGGTTCAAACCAACCTTGCAGTCTAGTGCTTTATCCCACAGCGCCATAGCTGCTACCTTCCATCCCCACCAGCAGTGTATTAGTGCTCCAGGTCTTCCACATACCAGTCAGTGATAGTTTACTCATTTGAATCATTCCAACTGGGTGTTGGACCATCTCACTGTGCTTTCAATGTGTATTTTCCTGATGACTAATGACGCGATCTTTCATACTCTCATTAGCCCATCCTGTTTGGGGCAGTTTCCTCATTGCTACGTTTTGAGAGCTAGGCTCTCAGCTCTCAGGTACTGGTCTGAGTCCAGGCTTCTACCAACACCATACTGTCTGGATTACTGTAACTTTTTCTTTTTGAAGCCAGGCGTGTGTCTCTTGTAACTCTGTTCTTTTTTCAAAACTGTTTTCTGCTACTGTAGTTATTTCTCTAGGAAATTTTTAGAATCCACTTGATTTCTTAAACACCAAAGCAAAGCAAAACAAAAACAGATTCCACTGGGAATTTTATTACATTTGCTTTGAATCCAGAGATGGATTTGGGGAGAAATGACATGCCAACAATACTACATTGTCCAACCCAGTAACACCAGCAAGTTAGTGCCACAACACATAGCTCCACTAATAGGTCTTCTGGGATCTCTCCAGGGCCTTAGCGTTTGGAGCACACTACCATTACAAACAGTCCATCACATCTGCACCTCACTCCATGCTCTAGGGTTCCCAGGTGTTCCTTTCTAGTACAGACCAATTCAATCCATTCACACACACAGAGCTCTCACGGCATGTGACCGGGCTAAACTAGTGTGTTGATTCTAGTAGCCTTGTTGCCCACGTGGGGGTTCTCTGTGTAACACAGACACTCTGGTATCTCCCTCTGCCCTTTACTGGACCAGCTGGCATCTCCTCTGGTGAGAGTGGACATTCCCGCTGTGTTCCTAGCTCGGGGGGGGGTGGGGTGGGTGGGTGGAGGCTGTTTACTCTCACACTCTGTGAGTGCTTTGTGGCGCCCCTTTCTAAGGGGCAGAAATTTCCAAGTCTGAGGTGGGCTTTTGTTAATGAGAAGATGAGAACGTATATATCTAGGTCTCGAGACAAAGGAAAACCACTTTAACAATCGAAGGCCAGAATGACAGAGCAGGTGGAAAGGACGCGGGCAGGAACGTGAGGAAAACCCAGTGAGTATGGTGTCACGGTGCCAGCAGAAGAGCATGTCGGGGAGGGTGGAGCATTTCAGTGGGGTCGGCAGATGCGAGGAGGCCCCGTAAGATGAACATGGAAAATTCCCAGTAGATGTGGCAGCAACCTGGGATTCCTGGTGACTGGATGAGAGTGACTTGGGCACACTTGTAGGAATAAGGGGCCCAGCCCCAGTGGCTAGACAAAGTGGAAGTGGAGTGCGACAGCCATCTTGGAAAGCATGGCTCCGAGTGGAGAAGAGGAGCAGAGTGGCCACGAGGAGCGGACGTAACAAGCAGATAAGAGGGAGGTGGTGGTGTACAAAGGAATAGCCACCAATGGTCTTCTTCACCCACTACTGGCCAGTCACCTGCTTCAGAGAACTATGGGATCTGATGAGTGGATACCCACGTTACACACCCTACAAGCAGCCACTTACATGAGAGTCAATGGGCCTGAGTCAGCAGCAGTGAAGCCACACACACACACACACACACACACACACACACACACACACACACAGTTCAAGCTGTGCAGATGGCCAACAAGGTCAGTAAAGAAGAAGCCACACTCCCCCCTATGTTTGGAGTTACCACTCAGCAAATGAAGGCTGGGCTGTAAGTGCCTTGGGCATTTCAAGAGAGGCCCTCAGAAGGCAATGGAGCTGAACGGTTGAGCACTGAACGTTCAGCACCAATGCCCTGAGCCCAACAGCACACAGCCAGTTGTCACACCACAAAAGCAGGCCTTGCACATCACTGAAACCTGCCCTTCCATGCCAGCACCCTGCAGGGGACCCACTTGGGGTAGAAAATGTCTTCATCTGAGCGTGTAGCCTTGTGACAGCTGTCACTGTGAACATAAGCTCAGGCCTGGGGCGACAGGCTTCTTTGAGCTGTGGCTCTGTCCTGCGTCTGCCCCATTCAGCAGCTGAGACATACTGTGTAGTCAGCACAACTCTGCCGAGCCACCCCGATTTTCTGCCACACACACTCAGGCTGAGAACAGGGCCACATCCAAGCCCACTGTCATGGGATGGAGGAATGTGAAGCCAGTCACTCTGGAAAGAGGTCAGTACACACTCCCCCCCACCCAAGAGCTAAAGGCTGAGGACACAGACAACCAAGGGCAGGATGAAGCCAGGTACAGGTGCCAGGTTACCAAGGCTGTGGTTGTCTCCAGTGGTTGAGAGAACCCCTGTGCATTTCTCAGGATCCCCAAGGCTGCTAAGACTTGAGCTTAATGCTTACAAGCCTCTCTGTGTGCCTCTGCGACACACTTAGTACACCTAAGGCCACCTAGTCTTCCCGGTGGACTCCCATTTCACCGTGTCTCTGAAATCAAAGGCAGATTGTATCCTTTCCCTTATAAAAGTGTCGCATGTCTTTGAATGTAGCTGCATTCCAGAGAAACTGAGTGAACTGCACACAGTACATAGGCTAGACACAGGAGCAGATTTTCATTGTCTGTCATGCATCTGGTCTAAGGAGACCTGAGCAGCATGACGGGCACGCAGTAGAAGCCCTGGCTGAGCCAGAACACACGTCCCAGGCTCCTCTGCGGCTCCATGGGGCCTAACAAGCAGCAGGGTCCAGTGCTGCTTCTGGTAACACGACAGAGAAGAGCGAAAGCACTCTGTCCCACACCCTCCTTCATCCGGAATCTGGCGGCCTGGGATAAAAGTGCCACCTTGGGCCATGGCATCTCGGTGTCACAGCAGTCAGGGAAGGAAGCCTGCACCCTGGGCCTTATGGAGCACAGCTGCCACATCAGCTCCAGGTGCCTCCCTGCACCTGGTGGGAAAGGACAGAGGGCTCAATCTCACCTTGGCTAAAGCCCCTGTCACTGTGTGTCTCAGAACTGCACTTTCATCCACCTTCGGTGACCAGCAACCAGTGCACCGTGCGGACACCGAGCGCAGAGGCCCAAGAGCACTGCCATCCAGTGGGTGTGGGGGGGGGAGCGGGGAGGGGTCCACCTGTAGGTAGGCACCCCACTCAGTGTGAAGGGGCTGTCTTATGTAACAGCCTCCTTTACAAATGGGGACACGGGCCGCAGAGAGTCCACCCACGGCCTAGGTCTCAGAGCTCTGAAGGGAGACAGAGCAGGTTAATGGCGCCCTGACGCACAGCCTGCACAGCCCTCCCCTCCTCTTGTAGGGGCACGAAGGGAACAGCCTCCCAGGTCCACGTCCCCACCTCCCACAGCACCGTGGCAAATGAGCCCGTCTGTCACACAACAGTGTCCACTAGTGGTGAATATTTCCTTTCTACTCCTTAGAGGAGAGAGAGCAAAAAGGGAAAAACAAAACAAAACAAAACTTAGCATCTTACCTCAAAGGAACATTCAACATTTCTTTCACTTTTTTTGTGTGATAATCCCTTCAGGTCTATCTTTTCAACACTCACTGTAAAAGTAAAAAAACAAAATTACAAAAACTGAAATCAACCTTATGGTGTGTGTGTGTGTATATATATATATATATATAGTTATTTGACATTTCAGCATTTTTGCAATGAGGCTATCGGCACATGGTGTTCGGGGTTTGCACTGCCCTGCCCATTGAGAAAGCTGGCATGCAGGTCCGGCAGGTACACGGAGCAGTGAAAGAGGGAACACCAGCAGCAAACCAAGACCACAGCGCAGAGCAGAAAGGGGCGCTTGAAAACAGAGGCCTGCTTTACTTGAACGTGCGGCCGACTGGTAACCTCCAGTGTTGCGCCGCCAGTTCCCACGCCTTTTCTCAGAGCTGTCTCTCCTCCTTGGTGTGGGCAGGGTGGCAGGGAGTGACCAGGACAGCAGGTATAAGAGTCAGGGATGCCAGCGAACACAGCCTCTGAAGGCCAGGTGGTCACCGGAGAGTGTCCCACACACGGAACAAGCTGCCCCATTGTAAGAAGGCACTTGGATAGAGGACACACAACATGGACGTGGAAAACCAACTGCGTGGGGAACCTGACTCACCTCAACTGCAGACTGACATGCATTCTAAGCGGCCCTTCAGTAATGCTCTGACTGTCCCCTCTATGTGTCCCTCCCATTCAGCACTGAGTGGGCACAGAGCAATCACTGGACACACATGGACAGCACACCTGAGCTGTCCCCTTTGGATTGCTGGAATGTACTTACTAACACTTTAAAATTGTAAGAGAGGGACGGAAGCAGGAAAGGACCGAGAATGTCAACAGCTGAGAAGCCACGCGGGGCATGTGAAACCAACGGGCAGCGTTGTAGGACATGACAGAGCAAGACGGCACAGACATCGGTCTCTGGGCAGCACGTTTCGCAGATTAAAGAGAAGGAACCCCAAATCCCAGCCCCTCGGCTTTTCCCCACCACACCATGGGGGCCATGACTGAAGCGCTGTGGAGGACAGACAGACAGACAGAAGAGTGCTGGCAGGGCCTCCCTGCCTGGACTTCATCAGCTCTCTTCCTCCTTCCCTGGGCACCCCCACTCTCCTCAGAGTGGACAAGAGCACGTGACCACTTGGACCAGCAAGGACAATCATGTGGGGAATGAGCTAATGGTCAGCCTTGAAGACGTACAAGATCTCCGTGTGAAACGGACGGGGTAGCCTGGTTCCTTTTCCCTCCTTGAGGAGGATGTGGGAACACAGGCAACCAGTCTGCAAATCAGCCTCCCCCAACTGCTTTCTCACCACCAGTGTCCTGAGAAGCGGCACTGGGACAGGGTTTCTTGACTGCTGTCTTTTCTGAGCCATTCGAGATATGCATCACATGTGGGCTCAGCTCGGATTACCCTCTGAGCTGTCCTGCCAGCCGTCCTTTTGTTCTACGGAGATGTTCATTCACATCTTTCCAGAAGAGTTCTTTACAAGGGCATGAGACCAGAGTGAGAACTTCCAGACAAACTCTGGGCATAGGCCCCCAAAATCTTCCTCGGGTCAGATGGGAAGCTCAAAGGAGAACACACTGGGTTCAAGTTGCATCTTGTGGACATGTCAATCCCGATGGGCCTCACGCCCTCTGCACTCAAGGCCCCCAGCCCCCAAGAGTCCCCTTGTGACCCTTTACGGAGAATGAGCTGGCATGAAAGGGCACTGGCTTTTGACTCGCACTGACGTGCCCTGTGAGTGGAGACAGGAAGAACTTGGAGTCCACCACACTGCAGAATGAACCGCTGTGAAGAGGGTCCCACAGGAGCCACCCTCAAGACCCTTCCTGTTGTCGGTGGCTGTCATGTCAGCACTCCTACTATTAAGGCATGGACGGATGGCACTGTAGTTTCACATGACCACCCAAGCCCTAGTAGTGTAGCAGCTATGCACTGGATCACTAACCACTATGTCAGCAGTTTGAAACCGTCAGCTGCTCCGCTGGACAAAGACGAGGCTTTCCGTTCCTGTAAATATTTACAACCTCAGATGCCTTATACAGGAGGATCTCTATGAGTCGGAACTGACTCCATGGCACATAACCATCACCACCAAAGAGACCAAGGGCCCTGGCGTGGGGCTATAGGATAAGCTCTGGACTGTTAACGACAAGGTTGGCAGTTCAAATCCACCAGACACAGGGTCGCTATGAGTTGTAACTGACTTGACAACACACAGCAACGGCGGCACCCAGCTAGGAGTCCTGATGGGGTGCAGTAAGGATTAGTACTGGGCTGATTAACCACAAGGTTGACGGTTCAAGCCCACTAGTCACTCCTTGGAAACCCTATACAGGGTCACTATGAGTCAGAACTGACTTAATGGTTCTTAACAACAACAACCACTGAGATAGAAGAGTTTAAAGCTCCTATCCTGGGAAGTCCTGCAACATAATTTCTGTTGATGAAAAGAAGAGAAACTAAAAATGTTTTGAAAGACACTTCGTGGTATGTTCCAGACTCAAACCTATGCCGAAGGTGGGCTTGCCCTCAGCTCCACCACAGGCAGGTAGACCCCTGCCCCCACACTGGGATACAGGCACAGGGAAAACTACCTGTTAAAGGGAAAGTCCGGAAGAAAGGGCTGGTAATCTACATCACCAACTGCCATGGGAACGCTGTGGATCACAAAGGTGTGATGCGCTGTACATGGTCGATGGCAGCTGACCACAGGACGCTGCCATCACAGCCACCGTCCCTTAGGCTCTTCCCCCAACTCAGCATTGAGAACTTCGAGAGCTCGGTCCACCCCTTTCTGGACACTTGGTTTCCACCCTCTCCTGCCTCTGCAGTGCCTTGAGTAGAGCAGACGATCAATGTCGTTTGAGTTCGCTGGAGTTAAAGAAGCATTTCTATCTCAGTACAGACAAATGCCATGGCCATCTCGGGTCTGACTTCTTCCCTTGCAGTGTAGCTTTGGGGATTGTGTCTAAGAGGAAGGGTAGCAGGCAGGCCGCAGGAAAGCAGATCCTAATATCCTCACAGACTCTCGGGGGGTGCGGTCTGGCACCCTCAGATTTCCTTCCCTGCTTCCTGAACCAAGCCCCAGCCATCAGCTCTCCTGACGGCCCGCCCCCTCAGGCACTACTTGCTTCTACCACCCCTCTGCTGTCTCGTTATCTGAATAATCCAGGGTTTTGGAGTTGTGATCCCTGACAAAGCTGACCCTAGAAGCCCAGATCATCTGACCACCTGGGTGGGTGACCTTCACACTGCGTGGTCACCCTGGTGTTCACAACAGGGGTCGTTCCACATCCTCAAGGGATTTTAGTCTCATTTCTGTCCCAGCCTTCCTTCTAAGAGCCACAGTGCAGCCTCAGACTTCCTCCAGCAACTAACCATGGCAGGACAGGGGCCAGGAGATCACCTTGTTCCGTCCACCAACACGGCACAATGACATTTTAAAACGAGTGGGGCGGTGGCAAATGGGGAGGCTGTCACTCGTAAGCAGTGTCCCCCCACCCGGCCCCCACCTCCTTGAGAGCCCTGATTCTAGCGGTCACTTGACAGGAAGTTGGAAGACAGCCTATCTCCTATCTGCTACCCCAGGGCTGCCCAACAAGCAGTCCAGGGCACACCAATGAGGCTGCTGAGCATCACTGCCATGGAAGTGCCCCACCAAAGGCTTTGGAGGAAAGTCTGAGAAGCATCATTTACCTCCTGCTGGTAGCCCGTCTGCCCATCAATGTATCAGTACTAGTAGCCGCATATCAAAGGCTTCTTTAACCAAGATTAGGGAATCTTTTTAGGCATGGGACTCTCTTCTGATAACAGGTTTGGCGACATGAGGGTCACTGGTGACTGTGATGACAGTGACGTATGTACCCTCCTAGGAACAAGAGCCCAAATGCCTTGTAACCGATTATAGTAACATCCCAAAGTACAACTAATTGCCCTGGGGAACACACTGCTCAAAGCTGTAGCCATCCACCACGGGTAAAACTGTAGCCATCTACCACGGGTAAAACATCAATGCCACATGGGGCTAGTGGCATCCTAGGAAAGTGCACTGATACAGCATCTCAGCCATCGCAGCCTTTTCTACTGAACAGCACCGAGCTACAGCTTCCGGGAGCCGTTTCCGTCTCCGTCCGTCTATGGCTGCTTTCAGCCCTGCCACATGGGTGAGTTGTTGCAACAGAGAATGGAGGGCTTCCAAAGTACCTTCCTGGATGTCTGAAGAAAATCCTTGCCGATCCCTGTTCGAAACCAACAACTGTTCACTTATCACTAAATCTATATAAAGTTCCAAGTGCTGAGAATTGGGTGGTGAACAAGATAGAGGGTGCTTGCACTCACAAACAGAGTTGGGTGGGGTGGGAGAAGACCCTTCCGCTACTAAGTCTTATTATCTTCTAAGACCCCCACATTTAGGAACCTTACATCAAGGCCAATATACATCTTGGGAGATATTTGAATCCATTCTGTTTATAACACCTGTAGTAAGTAGTCCACTGATAGGGAACTATGAGAAATCAAGTCGGATTCAGAAGGTGTGCAACAAGGGACATCAATGTGATGTCAGATGAGATGGGTCTTGGCTGAAAACAGATAAGACCAGAAAGAAGCCGACTTGTTTTACTGACAAGGCTGTGTGGATCACAGCAAATTATGGGTAAGATTGTCAAGAATGAGAATTCCCGAACACTTTACTGTGCTCATGTGGAACCAAAGCCAGAACAAGGAGCTATGTGCTGATTCCACACCAGGAAAGGGGTGCATCATTGCTGGACTCGTTCACCACACTTAGTCTGTATGCTCAGCAAAGAATCTGAGAAGCTGGACTAGATGAAGAAGAGTGGGACCATCAGGATGGAAGACTCATTAAGAACCCAGGAGATGTACCTGACACAACCTTGCCTGCAGAAAGCAAAGCGGACTTGAAGCACTTGCTGATGAAGATCTAACTGTATAGCCTTCAATAGGGATTACACACCTCAGCATGAAGAAAACCAAAAATCCTAACAAGTGAATCAAAAAGCAAATAGAAGAGACTGAAGTCGTCAAAGA